AGTTCTAGTTCAGTCTAGTTCAGTTCTAGTTTCAGTTCTAGTTCAGTTCTAGTTCAGTTCTAGTTCAGTTCTAGTTCAGTTCTAGTTCAGTTCTAGTTCAGTTCTAGTTCAGTTCTAGTTCAGTTCTAGTTCAGTTCTAGTTCAGTTCTAGTTCAGTTCTAGTTCAGTTCTAGTTCAGTTCTAGTTCAGTTCTAGTTCAGTTCTAGTTCAGTTCTAGTTCAGTTCTAGTTCAGTTCTAGTTCAGTTCTAGTTCAGTTCTAGTTCAGTTCTAGTTCAGTTCTACTTCAGTTCTAGTTCAGATCTAGTTCATTTCTAGTTCAGTTCTAGTTCAGTTCTAGTTCAGTTCTAGTTCAGTTCTAGTTCAGTTCTAGTTCAGTTCTAGTTCAGTTCTAGTTCAGTTCTAGTTCAGTTCTAGTTCAGTTCTAGTTCAGTTCTAGTTCAGTTCTAGTTCAGTTCTAGTTCAGTTCTAGTTCAGTTCTAGTTCAGTTCTAGTTCAGTTCTAGTTCAGTTCTAGTTCAGTTCTAGTTCAGTTCTAGTTCAGTTCTAGTTCAGTTCTAGTTCAGCTTAGTTCAGTTCTAGTTCATTCTAGTTCAGTTCTAGTTCAGTTCTAGTTCAGTTCTAGTTCAGTTCTAGTTCAGTTCTAGTTCAGTTCTAGTTCAGTTCTAGTTCAGTTCTAGTTCAGTTCTAGTTCAGTTCTAGTTCAGTTCTAGTTCAGTTTAGTTCAGTTCTAGTTCAGTTCTAGTTCAGTTCTAGTTCAGTTCTAGTTCAGTTCTAGTTCAGTTCTAGTTCAGTTCTAGTTCAGTTCTAGTTCAGTTCTAGTTCAGTTCTAGTTCAGTTTAGTTCAGTTCTAGTTCAGTTCTAGTTCAGTTCTAGTTCAGTTCTAGTTCAGTTCTAGTTCAGTTCTAGTTCAGTTCTAGTTCAGTTCTAGTTCAGTTCTAGTTCAGTTCTAGTTCAGTTCTAGTTCAGTTCTAGTTCAGTTCTAGTTCAGTTCTAGTTCAGTTCTAGTTCAGTTCTAGTTCAGTTCTAGTTCAGTTCTAGTTCAGTTCTAGTTCAGTTCTAGTTCAGTTCTAGTTCAGTTCTAGTTCAGTTCTAGTTCAGTTTTAGTTCAGTTCTAGTTCAGTTCTAGTTCTAGTTCAGTTCTAGTTCAGTTCTAGTTCAGTTCTAGTTCAGTTCTAGTTCAGTTCTAGTTCAGTTCTAGTTCAGTTCTAGTTCAGTTCTAGTTCAGTTCAGTTTAGTTCAGTTCTAGTTCAGTTCTAGTTCAGTTCTAGTTCAGTTCTAGTTCAGTTCTAGTTCAGTTCTAGTTCAGTTCTAGTTCAGTTCTAGTTCAGTTCTAGTTCAGTTCTAGTTCTAGTTCAGTTCTAGTTCAGTTCTAGTTCAGTTCTAGTTCAGAGTTCTAGTTCAGTTCTAGTTCAGTTCTAGTTCAGTTCTAGTTCAGTTCTAGTTCAGTTCTAGTTCAGTTCTAGTTCAGTTCTAGTTCAGTTCTAGTTCAGTTCTAGTTCAGTTCTAGTTCTGTTCTAGTTCAGTTCTAGTTCTAGTTCAGTTCTAGTTCAGTTCTAGTTCAGTTCTAGTTCAGTTCTAGTTCTAGTTCAGTTCTAGTTCTAGTTCAGTTCTAGTTCAGTTCTAGTTCAGTTCTAGTTCAGTTCCAGTTCAGTTCTAGTTCAGTTCTAGTTCAGTTCTAGTTCAGTTCTAGTTCAGTTCTAGTTCAGTTCTAGTTCAGTTCTAGTTCAGTTCTAGTTCAGTTCTAGTTCAGTTCTAGTTCAGTTCTAGTTCAGTTCTAGTTCAGTTCTAGTTCGAGTTCTAGTTCAGTTCTAGTCAGTTCTAGTTCAGTTCTAGTTCAGGTTCAAGTTCAGTTCTAGTTCAGTTCTAGTTCAGTTCTAGTTCAGTTGTAGTGTCAGTTTGTAGTTCAGTTTCTAGTTCAGTTCTAGTTCATTTCTAGTTCTTCAGTTCAGTTTAGTTCAGTTCTAGTTCAGTTCTAGTTCAGTTCTAGTTCAGTTCTAGTTCAGTTCTAGTTCAGTTCTAGTTCAGTTCTAGTTCAGTTCTAGTTCAGTTCTCGTTCAGTTCTAGTTCAGTTCTAGTTCAGTTCTAGTTCTAGTTGTACAGACTATTAATCAGACCAAATCAGGATTATAGTTCAGATCAGACTGTAAGCTATAATTTAGACCAAATGTCCTGATTATCGATTGGTCTCTAAACCAGACTAGACTATAATAAATGGTTTCAACATTACATTCATCCTTTTTCTGCCAAATCATTACATAAATTAAACCCGTTTAACTGAATGCTGACTAAGGCAAACGAATGTTCAATCACCTTAATAAATCGCAAACAAAACCCTTAATGCCCAACAACAAACTTATTTGAAAATAAATATATTTTTCTATTTTAGAAACACAACAATAGTAGCAAACAATATATTTTGCAACACCTGCCAAACACAACAACAGTTTTTTTAAATTAAATCTTTTTTTTTTGCTGCCCACATCATCCCGGCTAAAACAAACTGAGTGCAAAACAATGGCAGGGATTGTAGCAAATAGTGTGAACGAAGGCTTTATGTAAGCTCGTTCTTTATTCCTGATACTATGGGCTAACATCCTGATGACCTGTATTGTATAGAGTTTTCATTTTTTTAACCGCTAGCGCCCGTAAATTCCCAATTAAGAAACTAAAGTTAAAAATAGAAGAATAATAGAAAAAATAGAAACAAGGAAACATAAATAAAGGCGGAAAAACCGAACACGCACACACACATACAAAACTGAAAGCTCATCAGATTCTATGTTGTGTTTTTAGAGAAGTTGCAACCAACTACAACTGCATACAGCTGACGTTGTTGACTTTGTGTGGAATGGACAGACTTAGAAATGGCTGTGGCAGCAAACAAAACACTACAGAAAACAATAACAAGCTGTTGAGACATTAACCCATTAAGTGAAAGTTTTCTATGGACTTATTGAAAAAGTGTTAAATTTTTCCATATACTTTACAGCGGTTCTAAAGGGTTAATATTTTTTTTAGATATGTTTATTTATTTTTACCTTTTTTCTTGCATCAAGTTATTACAATTGTTTTGTTGCAAAATTTATAGTAAAAATATAAATGGCAGGTTATTTTATATTATTTTCCTCCATTTCATTACCTTTTTATACAATATTTTTTTTACAGATTTACAAATTGCTTTATTGCAATTTAAATGGTTTTTGATTAGTTTTTTTTTTTCTCAAATGGTGTTCGAACCAGATTGTAATTTCGAAATTGGAATTTATGTTAGGAGCAGCATAAAAGGGGAAATAGAATTGATTAGAAAACGAATTGGAATCTGTGTGCGGAACGAAAAGTCAAAAGGTTTAAGATTTCAATTAAGAAAATATAAGAAAATCTTAAATTCTAGAACTAAAAGTGAACTAGAACTAAAACTAAACTAGAACTAAACTAGAACTGAACTAGAAATGAACTAGAACTGAACTAGAACTGAACTAGAACTGAACTAGAACTGAACTAGAACTGAACTAGAACTGAACTAGAACTGAACTAGAACTGAACTAGAACTGATCTAGCATTGAACTAGAACTGAACTAGAACTGAACTAGAACTGAACTAGAACTGAACTAGAACTGAACTAGAACTGAACTAGAACTGAACTAGAACTGAACTAGAACTGAACTAGAACTGAACTAGAACTGAACTAGAACTAATCTAGAACTGAACTAGAACTGAACTAGAACTGAACTAGAACTGAACTAGAACTGAACTAGAACTGAACTAGAACTGAACTGAACTAGAACTGAACTAGAACTGAACTAGAACTGAACTAGAACTGAACTAGAACTGAACTAGAACTGAACTAGAACTGAACTAGAACTAGAACTAGAACTAACTAGAACTGAACTAGAACTGAACTAGAACTGAACTAGAACTGAACAAGACTGACTAGAACTACTAGAACTGAACTAGAACTGAACTAGAACTGATCTAGCATTGAACTAGAACTGAACTAGAACTGGACTAGAACTGAACTAGAACTGAACTAGAACTGAACTAGAACTGAACTAGAACTGAACTAGAACTGAACTAGAACTGAACTAGAACTGAACTAGAACTGAACTAGAACTGAACTAGAACTGAACTAGAACTGAACTAGAACTGAACTAGAACTGAACTAGAACTGAACTAGAACTGAACTAGAACTTGAACTAGAACTTTAACTAGAACTGTCGTAGTATATACTCTGCTATATATTGGGGTATAGTTGAACTGAACTAGAACTAGAACTGAACGAGAACTAGAACTGAACTAGAACTGAACTAGAACTGAACTAGAACTGAACTAGAACTGAACTAGAACTGAACTAGAACTGAACTAGAACTGAACTAGAACTGAACTAGAACTGAACTAGAACTGAACTAGAACTGAATTAGAACTGAACTAGAACTGAACTAGAACTGAACTAGAACTGAACTAGAACTGAACTAGAACTGAACTAGAACTGAACTAGAACTGAACTAGAACTGAACTAGAACTGAACTAGAACTGAACTAGAACTGAACTAGAACTGAACTAGAACTGAACTAGAACTGAACTAGAACTGAACTAGAACTGAACTAGAAACTGAACTAGAACTGAACTAGAACTGAACTAGAACTGAACTAGAACTGAACTAGAACTGAACTAGAACTGAACTAGAACTGAACTAGAACTGAACTAGAACTGAACTAGAACTGAACTAGAACTGAACAAGAACTGAACAAGAACTGAACTAGAAATGAACTAGAACTGAACTAGAACTGAACTAGAACTGAACTAGAACTGAACTAGAACTAAACTAGAACTGAACTACAACTAATCTAACACTAAACTAAAACTATACTAGAACTGTCGTAGTATATACTCTGCTATATATTGTGGACTATACACCAGTGCTGCTAGTTTTACTCTTCCTTTACAGTTTTGTTTAATGCATAAATTTAATTAATAATATTTATTTCTTGTTATCTTTTCAGGTATGTAAAATTTACGCCATTAAAGGAATTTGTTTACTAAATTGCTAAAAAAAGTGAGTAAAATTATTAGAACATTTAACAAAGACTAGCCTTTCTGCATTCATAACATAAAGTTAGTGTTAACTTTGTTCTTACGTCAAGAACTCTTTCTTTCTCTATACAATCAATTAACATCGAACTTGTCTTCTCAGCCATACCTTTAACACTCTACTCAAATTTGACCTTCTCCTTGTCAAAACCTTTACTCGTTTAGTCCATGTCTATAACAGAAATTGTAATTAAACTACAAGTATGAATCTCTAACATAACACAGAAGAGTATATGCAAACAGATTTTCTATATATAACCTATAAAGTTTTTTTCTTGTTATCTTTCGGTCTTCATCTGGCTAAAAGCACAGAAATAAACATGGAAGCTAAAAAACTGAATATATTCCAATTTGTTTACCTTCAACAACGCGGAGACTCGAGTACACAGTGTTAGTGTGTGTGTTGTAAACTTAAATTATAATGTTTGTATAACAAGTGGGGGGAGGGTGAAAAAGAAAAATAATATTCATTTGATTTAAACCACTATTTGTGCAAAAGTTAGTAAATATTTAATATGATAATGCTGATGACTACTGGCTCCTGCTGCTGTGAAGGTAGTTGTTAACAGAAAATAGAGTGGGGATAGACTAAATCAAATTCAAAAGTATGAACGTGCTTTGGCCAACACATGCTAAAAGTTAGAGAGTTTAAGCTGGAGGGGAAAGTTGTGGAAAAGAAATTTGGTAATAGAACCAAATCATTAATAAGATGGTTATAAGGATCTAGAATGATTCAAGAGGTATTCAGGAATCAGTTTCATTCGTTTCAATTTGCAGCTTGAACGAAGTCTTTCTCTTAAACTAAATTCCTAAAGCTTCTCTTCTATCAACTACTCTCTAAAGAGTGACCATGAGTTTATTTAAATTTATATAGAAAAACCAACTTCTACAACTTCCACCTATCTACCAAAAATCCAATATAAACACAATGACATCACAACCACTCTCTTACTACTAAAGCTTTCCACAGCATACTGTTTGTTCTAGCCACTACACTACACACAAGTACTTGATAAAAGTTCGCGTAACGGAAATTTACAGGAAATTTGAAATATTTCGTTTTGTATTTTTTGTTTATTTTATTTTTTCATTTGATATTTGTTAATATTACAACACACTCAGTGGCTGGCTGCTAGAGTAAACGAGCAGGGCCAGCAGTAGAGGCAGCACAGAAAAAAACAAGAAATTTAATTTGTCTGGCTTAATAATTTATTTACAAAAGTAATAAATACTTGGTAAAAGAATCAGCGAAAAAAAAAACGAACGGATAAAAGAATCAGCAACCCACTTAATCCTCTTTCAACAGTTTGCGATTTCAGTTTTATGTTGTTTTATTCCTTCTTTAACAGTCGCTTATTAACATGAACAACAACAAAAAAAAAAACATTAAATGTTTAAAATTATTGCAAAAAATTGGGAAAATTCAGTTCATATATTAAACGCATTTAAGTGCAGTTTTTTTTGCTTATATATTACTTTGTATTTGATAAGGGAAATTATCCTAAAAATATGCTACACTATTTACACATAGAAGAAAGATCAAAGCTAGCTTTGAACTTTTTCTGAAGAGGAAAGACAAAAGCTAACCTTGCAACTCCTCTCTCATGGAGGAAAGATTAAAACAGTTCTTGATCTTTTCTTGATCAGTTATAGTTTTGTTATAGTTCAGTTCTGTTCTAGTTGTGTTCTAGTTGTGTTCTAGTTCTGTTCTAGCTCTGTTCTAGTTCTGTTCTAGATCTTTTCTGTTCTGTTCTGGATACGTTCTAGTTCTGTTCTAGTTCTGTTATAGTTCTGTTCTAGATCTGTTCTAGTTCTGTGCTGGATCTGTTCTAGTTCTGCATCTGTTTCTAGTTCTGTTCCTGTTCTGTTCTAGTTCTGTTCTAGTTCGGTTTTCTAGTTCTGGCTAGTTCGGTTCTAGGTTCTGTTCTAGTTCTGTTCTAGTTTCTGTTCTAGTTCTGTTCTAAGTTCTGTTTGTTCTAGTTCTGTTCTAGTTTCTGTTCTAGTTCTGTTCTAGTTCTGTCTAGTTCTGTTCTAGTTCTGTTCTAGTTCTGTTCTAGTCTGTTCTAGTTCTGTTCTAGTTCTGTTCTAGTTCTGTTCTAGTTCTGTTCTAGTTCTGTTCTTAGTTCTGTTCTAGTTCTGTTCTAGTTCTGTCTATTATGTTCTTAGTTGTGTTCTAGTTTGTTCTAGTTTGTTCTAGTTCTGTTCCTAGTTCTGTTCTAGTTCTGTTCTAGTTTCTGTTCTAGTTCTGTTCTAGTTCTGTTCTAGTTCTGTTCTAGTTCTGTTCTAGTTCTGTTCTAGTTCTTGTTCTAGTTCTGTTATAGTTCTGTTCTAGTTCTGTTCTAGTTCTTGTTCTAGTTCTGTTCTAGTTCCTGTCTAGTTCTGTTTCTAGTTCTGTAGTTCTGTTCTAGTTCTGTTCTAGTTCTGTTCTAGTTCTGTTCTAGTTCTGTTCTAGTTTCTGTTCTAGTTCTGTTTCTAGTTCTGTTCTAGTTCTGTTCTAGTTCTGTTCTAGTTCTGTTCTAGTTCTGTTCTAGTTCTGTTCTAGTTCTGTTCTAGTTCTGTTCTAGTTCTGTCCTAGTTCTGTTCTAGTTCTGTTCTAGTTCTGTTCTAGTTCTGTTCTAGTTCTGTTCTAGTTTCTGTTCTAGTTCCTGTTTCTAGTTCTGTTCTAGTTCTGTCTAGTTCTGTTCTAGTTCTGTTCTAGTTTCTGTTCTAGTTCTGTTCTAGTTCTGTTCTAGTTCTGTTCTAGTTCTGTTAGTTCTGTCGAGTTCTGTTCTAGTTCTGTTTCTAGTTCTGTTCTAGTTCTGTCTAGTCTGTTCTAGTTCTGTTCTAGTTCTGTTCTAGTTCTGTTCTAGTTCTGTTCTAGTTCTGTTCTAGTTCTGTTCTAGTTCTGTTCTAGTTTGTTTAGTGTTCTAGTTCTGTTCTAGTTCTGTTCTAGTTCTGTTCTAGTTCTGTTCTAGTTCTGTTCTAGTTCTGTTCTAGTTCTGTTCTAGTTCTGTTCTAGTTCTGTTCTAGTTCTGTTCTAGTTCTGTTCTAGTTCTGTTCTAGTTCTGTTCTAGTTCTGTTCTAGTTCTGTTCTAGTTCTGTTCTAGTTCTGTTCTAGTTCTGTTCTAGTTCTGTTCTAGTTCTGTTCTAGTTCTGTTCTAGTTCTGTTCTAGTTCTGTTCTAGTTCTGTTCTAGTTCTGTTCTAGTTCTGTTCTAGTTCTGTTCTAGTTCTGTTCTAGTTCTGTTCTGTTCTAGTTCTGTTCTAGTTCTGTTCTAGTTCTGTTCTAGTTCTGTTCTAGTTCTGTTCTAGTCTGTTCTAGTTCTGTTCTAGTTCTGTTCTAGTTCTGTTCTAGTTCTGTTCTAGTTTGTTCTAGTTCTGTTCTAGTTCTGTTCTAGTTCTGTTCTAGTTCTGTTCTAGTTCTGTTCTAGTTCTGTTCTAGTTCTGTTCTAGTTCTGTTCTAGTTCTGTTCTAGTTCTGTTTTAGTTCTGTTCTAGTTCTGTTCTAGTTCTGTTCTAGTTCTGTTCTAGTTCTGTTCTAGTTCTGTTCTATTCTGTTCTAGTTCTGTTCTAGTTCTGTTCTAGTTCTGTTCTAGTTCTGTTCTAGTTCTGTTCTAGTTCTGTTCTAGTTCTGTTCTAGTTCTGTTCTAGTTCTGTTCTAGTTCTGTTCTAGTTCTGTTCTAGTTCTGTTCTACTTCAGTTATAGTTCGGTCCTAGTTTTTAGTTTAGAGACCAGATATGGCTTTGTCCTTATTGTAGAAATGCCGAACTCAGTTTTTCCTCACCCAATATTATCGAAGCCGTGTAATTTATATGAATCTTGTCAAAACAATATTATAAAACAACGTATAACAGTTTTTGCTTTATTTCGTCTACTTACATTAAGTTTTGTTTTTTTTTCCAATTTTTTGTTGTGCATTCAACAAACATTTTGCCAACTGTTTTCAAAAGAAAACTACTACAGCCAACTAGCTTAACTATGTTTTTTGAACTCTTTACCAATTTTAAAAGCAAATTAACTAAATGCACTCTTATTAAATGAACGAAAAGAAAGCAGAACTAAAACTCACAAAAAAAACAGCACTACACATATGCGAAATGAGATTGAGGGTTGGTTTGCTAAATGGTAAAATGAGAAGGCTACAACATATTTGTTTGTACTTTGGATTTAAAACTAGAGAACTACAAAAGTCTAGGGAAAACCAGAGTTAAAAAACTTTAACTTTTGCTCTTTATAATGATGTCGCCATCACAATTTCTTTCCAACAAAGTTGGCAGTGGTATAAGGAAAAAAATCAAACTTTCCTAAAATATTAAGAAGAAAAAATTATTGTAAATGTTTCAATTAATTTTACTTCCCTTAGCACTTGATGCTGTTATCTTAAAGATAATTAAAAAATAATGTTAGTTTCCTTTTTCTTTTTACGAAAACTAACAATACGTTATTGTCTTTAAAAAACTTACTTTTTTTATACCCTAAAGGGTATCAAAACTTCTAACTTGCCTCTCATTATAAACCCTTTCCTACTTGTTTTTAACAAATTGAACTTTTATGCTGCAGAACAGCAGTTCAGCCTCCTGAAGTGGGCTCATTAGAACGAAACAACGAAACTATTATGCCATCAACTTCAAGTTAGGAACAAAAAGGATTTTTTCAATTGTTTTTGTCGTCGTCGTCGTCATTGCCGTTATTGCTCTATTGTCGATGTTTCAATGCATCCTTCTAACTGAGCTGCTGCTGGAGAAGAACCACTTCGTTAAAAGGAAAAACTTTTATATTTTCTTGTAGTTTGCGTATGTTTTGCTGGCAATAACAAGGATGGGAAAAAATGCATTTTTCTTTCACATTGCCAAAGGAAAACAATAAGTTTCACAGATTGTGAAATATTGAACGAAAATTTTTGATTATATTCAGTGATTTTTAGAATAATAAAAAAGTTTTGATTTTTATTTAT